GTGATACGGGCCGAAACGTAGACACCGATCAGTCATTCGAACATTTATCATCCAAACTGTTTAACTGTTTACGCTATGCTTAAATAAACAGTTTTTATGCTGTTTTTCATAGATAGGTTTAAACTGGTACGCGTATATGCCACTGTGCATTGTACTCTTTTCATGAGTCCTCTGACCGTGGCTTACCGCCATTCTTGTAGACATTTACGTTCTACGAACTAGCAGAAAATCTTCAATATGCCAGACGCGGATGCGTCTTCACTTTCTTATGATGGAACTGATTTAATTTTGGCCAGTTAATAAAGTCGCATGCGGATGGCAGCGATCAATCAAAGAATATTTGCAACAGAAAAATTTCAGAAAGCGGTTTCCAGTGCGTGTATGCTTTCCTCATGAGGATAACCTCAAGTGAAATGCAACAATTGAACCTTGTTCTTTTGCTGGTGTACCTGATTTTCAAACGCTGCCGGTAGACTACTGCGTACTTAATAATAAAGCAAAAATAACTTCATGCAAATAAAACGCTTACCACAACATAAAACCTGAACAGCTTTGATTCGATCGCAAAATCAGGACCATTTATTGGTTCAGGAGGCAGAATGACACAGTCGTCTTTTAGCATTAACCCCTGAAACTGCGAAATACAAACTCTGCCTTAAAACGAAGTGTGGAATAAAAATTTTTACAATTAAATACAAAAATCATTTTGTAAAAAATGATTAACCTAAAAATGAAATATAACTGACTATGCCAATAAAACAAGCCGTGGCAAGATCTCGCGTAAAACTTGGCTACATGCACCTATAAAACGTTACACCGGCTCAGTTCTCAGCCGAGTTACCAAGAGCCGCGAACGCAGTTGGAGAACTAAGGCACATTGTGAAAAGTCAGCGATCAGAACCTTCTTCGCGCTTTCTGACCGATGGGAGCGTAGCAACATGGCGACGGCTGTCGAACATCGACAGAACGCCGACGAAAATGATGGAGATGCTACCCGTTCTGAACAGAAGAAGCAGACAACGCGATGCCATTATGGCATATCAGATAAGCATCTACAGGAACGCTACCGACGATAGGAGCTCATGGTCAGAAATTGGAACCTCCATTCAGTCAGAGTGAAAGAACTGAAGCTACCTAACGAGACCGCAAAGTCCAACAACTGTATGTAGTTGAACTATCGTCAAATAAGTGCTAAGGCCAAGACGACAACCTTCACGTGGTGTTCCTGTTACGTATTGCGAAAGTACGCCAAAGCTTAACAGTACAACGAATGTAGTTACCTGGTAGCCGAACTTGCGAAAGTAATCTCTCTCCAGCCATACGACAGAAGAAGTGCCAGGGAAATGGGTTCCTACTTCTGCGAGTGTAAGCTACTCTACTGAGGTATCAATATCAGGACCCACGCTCAGATCTGTGTAGGTGTTCTGACAGAATCTAATCTGGCTGACAGAATCATTGAATGGAAGCTTGGCAATACTCTGACTGAGATGGCAACAGGCAAAAGTTTTGACCTCGTTACGGATCACTATATCCAATTTTGAGAGAGAATATGAGTCAGCCCTGGGGGAAGCATGTGGTGCTTTGTTGCTGTTGTTTTATCATCGTCATCTGAGGTTAACAGATCTTAAAGGAACGTATCCCAGATTTATGATGCCTGGTCGTTAGATATGGCATTTCTATTGATGTCAGACAAAACTGACGGCAGTGGCAAAGGTGTTATCTGCAGCACTGGCAGAAGGATGAATCTTCAATTATTAGCACAGTCCACGACAAGGCTGCATTCAAGAGGTGGCTTCGAAACAGAATCTTCAACTCGAATATGCTACGAAGAAGTGCGCAATGCGGAAGCGAAAACAGTCCCCAAAGCTAAAGCTGATTTTTGAGAGAAGTCCGGTGAGGTGCCGGAGTCGAATATCCAGAAGGCAAACAAGGTATTCTTGCAGACGATCTGACACCTCTAAGACGAAAAGAAGGGCAGTTTAAGAGTCTTGAAAGACAGGTCTGAATACCGTCTTACCGAGAATGAGGGCATTCTTCAGTGATGGAGGGAGTACCTTGAGGTACTATGCAACAATGAACAACCACAGGAAGACTAGCATGAAAAGTAGCAGAAAATGGATACTAATCTTTCAGTGTGTGAATTCACAGCAGCTGTAAAAGATTAAAAAGTGGTAAAGCAGCTGGAATCGATAAAATTCGCCCTATAAAAGCTCAAAGATTTAGGCAACCAAGGCATGCTGTAGCTAACATCTGTCTGTTAAACAGCCATGAATAGTGGATAACTTTGGTGTCAGTAACCCTGTTCAAGAAGACACATCTACTAAATTCATTGCAACAAGCATTAATTTTGAAATCTGTCTGGGAACATGCTGTTAACGAGACGCATGAATTTTCGATCTTGACCAAATGAGTGGCAAACGGCAGAAGTGGTGTTTTATAGAATGATTGGCTGATCTGACAAGGCATGACGGGAATTGGAAAATGGTAACGTGAGATACAATCGTTAACAAATTTTCTCAAAACCAAAAACGATCATAAGAACGACGGCTGGGTATATGCTCAGGAGGCCAAAGGAAAGACTCATAAAGCACAAAGCAAAGGCTAACACATTCTTAAAAAATACTCTGAAGGCAAGGGATTGTATCGTTTCTGAATTCAGTCCACTAAATCTGACCATCTGACTGCGATCCTAGCCCTCTGGTGGACTGATGGCACGATGCGTAGGAGGTCGGCTTCGAACTGGAACCCTGGAGCTGCCAAGTTCGATTCCCGTGGAGAAAAATCTGTCTCCTTTTACAACATATTGCTTCAAACCGGGGTCGCTCAGTCGGTAGAAGGTCGGACTTAGAACTAAGAGGTCCGTGGTTTGAGCCAAGATTAGTGTTACCAGCTTTCTTTCTATCTGAGGTTGATAATGAGTAACACTCTGATAAATGAGTTAGAAGAAAACAGGAGAATACAGACCATGCT